CCCTCTCAGTCTGTCCCTCCTGTCCCCTCTCACTCTGTCCCTGCTCTGTCCCCTCTCAGTCTGTCCCTCCTGTCCCCTCTCGGTCTGTCCCTGCTCTGTCCCCTCTCAGTCTGTCCCTCTCTGTCCCCTGTCAGTCTGTCCCTGCTCTGTCCCTTCTCGGTCTTTCCCTTCTCTGTCCCCTTGGTCTGTCCCTGCTGTCCCCTCTCGGTCTGTCCCTACTCTCCCCTCTCACCTGCAAGGTTGGTCCCTGCAGGGCTGCTGCAGGGCCGACAAGCAGAAGGTAAGTCCCCTGCTGTCCTGGAGATGCATCCTTCAATGCCTTGAGGCCACTTCACCCCAGGACCCTTGCAGGGCAGCTCGCCCAGTGAGCTCAGGAGCCATTTTAACAACTGATGTGTCTTTTATTCACAAAAGCTGCAGCAAGATGTTATCTACACATTTGTACAAAGGTTTGGACGCCCTTAGAAAATGCACAACGGTCAGAAAACAGAGCCCATTGTGCCGGGAACACATACCTCAGCAAATTCACCCCTGGTCTGCATTTGGCAAGAAGTGCCTCCCAAGGACCCCTGCCCTGCCCAGGGTGCCCCCCAGAAAGAGCCTGGCCTGAGGAATACCTTCCATAGAAAACCATAAAAACATAGATCATTTGTCTCCAAATTCCCACTGCAAATACTGCATTTATAGGCAAAATGATATAAAAATATGAACCTAACAGAACCTTTACAAAACCCTTATCCCCCACATTTTGTGTGTGTGTTTTGTTTTGTTTTTGCTTGTGGTTTTGGTAAGAATTCCTGCCGTAGAAGAAGGCGCCGTGTGCCTTCAGCTCAGCCCATGGGTGCTGCCCTCCCTGTGTCCTCAGGACAGAGCAGGTCCTCGGGGAAGGGAAGGTGGGCCGTCCCTGCCCGGAGGACCCCCAGTTCCATCTGCAGAGAGAACTGCACGCAGACCCAGGGCCTGGTGACCACTAGGGCCGGCTCTGCCGAGAGGAGACAGCTGTAAAGGAGAAGTGATCCTGACCTTCGGGCCTGCTGAGCCCAGAGCTGTCCTGCTACATGAATCTGCTTGGCTGGAGAGAGGCTCCTGCTGGGCACTTGGATGGCCACCGCGGCCGCCAGGCCACAGCCTGAGCACACTGTCTGCTGGTGTCTTGAGTCCTTAGCACCAAACGCAAAAAGGAGAGAAGTCCAGTTCAAGGTTAAAGGCACTTGTGTCGTTGTCTGGATGGTGACAGTCTCTGTCTCCGCACGCTCGTTCCCTGTCCGCTCACTGCACTCGGCCAGCCCCTCCCTCACGCTCCCTCGCCTCTGAGACCCCCCCGGTCCTTCAGCCGACCCTCTGCATCCTCCTCCCTCCGACCCCTACCACATCCTCGCTCCCTCCCACGCCCCCTCTGCGCACCCCAGTGCCCAGCCTCAGACGTCCACCTCCTGCGGCCCGGGCGTGGCGGCGGGGGCGGAGACGCTGATGTCAAAGCAGGTGACCATCATGACGTGGGCCTTACACAAGTTCACGCACTGCTCCAAGGCGGCCGTGGCGTGCTCCAGGGCCGCCAGGTACTCTGCTGACTCGGGCTCCAGCTCCGGGTCCACCTCGACTGGGGAGGGACAGCAAGCAGCTGGTCAGGCCAGGGGTTCCCACGGGGCCGAGGAAAGGCTTCTCTCCCCTCCCGGCTTTTGGGTCCCTGTCTGGGCCAAGGTGAAGGTGAGCAACTGGAGTTCTAGAGGGAAGTGGCTGGCTTAGGGGCGCAGCAGGCAAGGGGCACCAGGGCGGTGAGGGCTCACTCTAGAGTCCTACAACCCTGCGCCTCCCGGGATGGGGATATCAGTTCTCCTCCCAGCAGAGGGGCGGGGCTCACACTGCCCCTCCCAGCAGAGAGGGGCGGGGCTCACACTGCCCCTCCCAGCAGAGAGGGGCGGGGCTCACACTGCCCCTCCCAGCAGAGAG